AAGTATATACAGATAGAGTTCAATTTTGTCAAATGTACCGATATTTTTGCGCACCTTGACTGCTTCGTTACTTATGACGCTGTGGCTGCTACGATATTTATGAGGATCTTGCATGTACTCATATATTTGACGCTGTGTATGTACCGATGTATTTGAGCAGGGTGAATGTATCTATTATTTTGAGGACTTTTGTTGTACCGATATAATTGATTACTTTTGATGTACCTATATATTTGCATATCTTGTCTGTGACGATCTATATGACGCTGACTGTACATGTACTAATGTCCGATGTTTTTGTGCCGGACACGACGGGTTCGCGTGGTTGACGGGACAACCATCCTTAGACTACATGTTGCAAGGGTAGGTGTAATATTTTAACATATGAAGTGGCACTTACCAACTCGATGCTCCGTTACTGCCTCCATGTGTCTGGTCACTATGCTGGTGTCAGTCGAGACGAATAAGTCACTGTCACAGTCTAACGGCGATAGCAATGCTGTACTACTGATGCACTCGATGTACCGCTTCCCGTTAGCGCGCTATAGACGCGTCGTTATCGAGACAAACGCGGAATCGTAAACTGAAACTTATCATTCTAATTCCGTCGACTTCCGATGCTGACTCACTGCCTACTCCGCACAATCCCCCGCAGACTCCGCGCTCGACCGTAGCGGTGAGGGATTTCAAACTACCCACTTGTGCAAGAGAATAAAATTGTGTCGTATACCGAACCGCGAAATTTAAAAATGATAAAATAATATACATGGTGTGAAATGTATTGTTACGTGGGAGTTATTTTTTAATATGCGAGAGGTGTTAAAGACGAGCGATTTCTCGATTAATATATTCATAAGTCCACGTCTTAAGATAAATTCTACATTCATTTATATGATACGACTTATTTACAACTACCACATATATCTAACATTATTGACTACTTGTGAATTTTATGTTGAAATAATTTAAAATTGATTGTGAAAATTCGAAGTGACATTTCTATTTAAAAGTCATAACTTTCTACCAGTGGTCATCCATTGGTCGAAATTCGACCATAATTCATAATGAAAAAAAAGTGTAATCTTACGCACCAGTTCGTGCAATTTTTGTGCACGATTAGAAAGTTTTCGCTTTACGAATTTACTTTATACGTAATTAATATAAAAAACACAGCAATTAAATCCAAATAACACTTTATTAATAACTACAATCAATAATTTATTCTGTAATTTAGAAGATTGGCACATTATATTACTTATAGCTCATATCATTAAAGCGGATTTTAAATATAACAATTCATAACCTAAGCAATCTTTATACAAGTCAATACAATTTTCAGCTAATCCTGTATGCCCAGTTTACATTATTCCAGTCCAGCTTAGAAGCCAGCGCTGGATTATAACTTTAAAAATGTAGATAAACACTGCCACCTCCACAATGATTTCCGTTGAGCATTTACAATTTTCCAGGTATAGCGCTAGATATTATCGCTGGACTGGAATAATGTAAACACGGCATTATGAACATTTTTATTTAATTTTAAATGTTTGAAAGCAACGCCGTGCCACGCTTCTAAACTACGAGAATATCGTAAAACTATGACTATCATAAACTATAAATAAATGTTTTAAATTAACCTAGAATATCACAAAACATGACTGACAATCACTTTTTAACATTTTGTCGATCTAAACATAGGGTAATGGACGAAACATGCAAAAGAAACTAGTACATTAATTATAAAGAATTGTAATAATAAGTATAAAACAAAATAGTATCCGCCATTTGAATTGGCACGTCGCCTTAAAGAGTTTTCTTACTATCGACGTGCCAAATCAAATGCGGGTTAATATCACCGTTACAAAAAAAATAACAAGACACTTTATCTCGACACGAAACAAACATTGTACAATAAAAAAAACTAATACATAATTTAGAGTGCATTCAGTCTGTAGAAACCCTTATATTAATTAAAAAAATAATTTAACCAAACGTTAATATGTTTTACCGGGATTTGAAAATTATTAATATAATGGAACAAAATGCGATTTTAAATTGGACTTTAGCTTTGGCAATATATTTAAGTATTAAAGATAACATTAGGGATATAAATAACTATATATTTTATTATTAGCAGATATAATAAAGCATTAAAAATACTATATTTTAGGACAAGTACAAGATTATCACAAACCATACATCTTTGCATACGAGAATCCAACTTCCAAGAATGTCACCCACAAGATTAACACACCTATTTATAATTCCATCCATTCACAATCTGCCAACAATCACCAACTATACTTACCGTGGGTTTCTGAGCCGTAAATCGCCGTTTAAAACATATTGTTATCTCTGTGTTGTCAAAGATAATGACAGGGATGACCATATATTTCGTACAGAGATATTGGTCCAGAAACCAACGGTTAGTCTGATAATTGTCGGACAAAAACGACAAGGGATCGGATCAATGTTTTTTTTTTCTATTATAAGCAGTCAATCCTGTACTATTTTATCTGTGTAGTTTTTCTAGTTATGTACGATTCGCAGGCTTACACGAGACGCAGTGACCAAATGCTTACATTACGTAATCTTATTTAATATTTATTGAACAGATGGCTTGGAAAATTACAAAAGTGGGTACAGATAAAATATTTATACAGACTACAACTACGAACAATTTTTATATCTTGTTTACGAATTGTCCTGTCTATTAATTTCTTTTCCACTTTTATTTTAAACCAGTCTTTCCCAAAGTGCGCGATAACGCCCCCTTGTGGGCGCTGCAAGTTGCGGGTTATAGTAAAAGTTTCGTTTAGAATTTTCCATTAATATACATATATAGGTCACAATAATTAATTAATTTAATTTGAAGTTATATTGGTTTTTAAACATGTGAAAATATAGGGGCGCTAAAAAATATTTATTCTCAAAGTGGGCAGTAGACAAAATAAGTTTGGGAACCACTGTTTTAAACTATATAACATCATCAATATACATATAATACATCACATTTCATTCAAAACACGCATTAGGAATGATTTAAAATGAATTTACAATTGTGATCCCAATTTAACTAATTTAAAATTTAAAAAAAAAAAACCCTTATTAATACTAATCGGCCATAGATTATTTCATAACATTAATTTCTAGACAAATTTTTAATGACGTAAACAATATAAAGAACCCTAAAAAAAATAAAAAAAAACAAGTATAAAATTGCAAGTAATAAGGTATACTAAGCTGTAGTTTTATGCGTTTTAGACATCGGTAATGTTCGAATCAAATTTACTGGGTCTTTTTATTTACGATTATCAAATACTTAGATTATAATTATTATCGAAATTTTCTAACATTTTCAATTAATATAAAACTCAAAATTAATTGAATTTATTAAAGCTATAAATCGATTTGAATGCATCGGATTATAATTAATAATCAAACATTAATATTATTATTTTCATTCACTAAATACAATAATCATTCATCATTCAGTACATATCATTCGTTCAATACCTACATAGAATCATATCTGGTGTCAGAAGTGAGCGGGTCATTATCATCTCTCTGCCTAAAGTCGAATGCACTCCTAAAACTATCTCTAAGTCTCTCCGTGAACGTTTTATAATCTAAGTGAGCTTGCTGACCGAATTCAAAGTCAGCCACTTCTATTGTATATCTGAAAAAAAAAGAAAAAATATAAACATTAAGTAATAAAGGGAAAACATAGATTATAAAAAAAAATAGACATGTAAAAATTTCAAGAGTGCATTTTTTTTTATTTACTGTATAATAATGCGTTTCTCGTTTTTATAATTAAACAATTGAAAATACTTTCAATCAATTTTTATTATGGATGTAGATAATTTTTCTAAAAAGTTGTTCTCCCCTTTCTTTATTCTTTGTACACAAAAAACTTTTTTATAATGAATTAGGGTGTCGAATTCGTGCTTTGCTTCAGGCGTTATTTTAAATTTGGCACCTTTTTAACTTGAAATAATGAAGCCGAGAAATAAAAGACAAAAAAAATCGTTCCTTTCTTGTTTGTTTTGCTATTAATTAAAAATGCAATTATAAAATAACTGGAAATCCCTTGAGTGGTGTGTATTCAGTCTGGGTACATTCTAGAAATATGAGTTACCTTGATCGATGTTGGTAGTAGGCGATACCGAAAACTACCAAAATAACAGCCACCAAGCAGAATACCACAGGCACAACTATTACCGATAATTGGGCATGGACAGTAGCTGAAAAAGAACAATAAAATTTGTTAATTATTTTTAACAAAAAATGCATATCTCTGCATAAAACATATCATTTTCGTCATTATCTTTAACAAAACTCAGATAATATATTTTAAACAGGGATTTAAGTCTCCAAAACCCATATGAACTGTGGTTGTAAGACCTCATTTCCATGAACAGATTAGCCACTTGTCACTTCACTCAGTGGAAAAGGTTTAAGCTTAGCAACCATACATGCAGTACTTTTCTATCCATAATGACTTAGTATTTAAGGTGTATAAATATTGTATAATGTACCTTTATAAATATTGATTGTTGCCCTTGAAACAGTCTTGCCCATATCATTCTCGACGACAACCACAACTGTATGCTGATCACAATCCGAGAAATAGTGGACTAGAGGGAATGCGTTAGTAAGGGTTGATGATTTGTAAACGCATGTCTCGTTTCCCGTTATATTATATTGCCCTTCTTTGTATAACGCACAATAGGCAAAAGGTGGAGAGCCTGTGTACTTTACTTGCAAGTTAAGTAAATCACCGTGCTGTAGCCAGTTGAGACCAGTTATATTAACAGTTGAGATTGGTTCTGAAAGACAAATAAAGATTAGATTTAACCAAGAAAATCGTATTTAATAATAAAATCACATTGATGACAATTTGGAAAATTATCAATCAAATTAACATCTAATTTTTAGTATAACAAAAAATTCCAGCTTGATACCTACAGACAGACGGACGGACAACAAATTGAACCTATAAGGGTTCCGTTTTTTTCCTATAAGGTACAGAACCCTAAAAACTATGAATTATAGAAATCTTACTGGTATTATAAATGCAAATATTTGTATGGATGTTAGAAGGTATATGGAGAATGACTGCATGGATCTTACTGAAATTAGGCATAGATGTAAAATATTGTATGGACGAATGCATATGGTACTAATATTTTTTTAATCCCATGAGGACAAAGTCGCGGGCGACATCTAGGTGTTGCTACAAAAATGACTCACCTCTTACACTTATAGTTTCTTGATAGTGACCATATGTGTATGATTTACCAATTGGAACAATACTGGAGTTGTGACAGATATAGTCTTTCGTTGAATTATTTCTCTTCATAGTTGTTCTATTGGAGATCATACGTTTAACCATTTTATGGATGGGTGAACTTTCAGTTGTTTCCAGTTGTTTTGGTTTAATACTAGTAGTAGTTGGTGTTGTATCATTTGTTGTTGTTGGCGGTTTGGGTGTCGTTGTTGTGGTTGTTGTTGTTGTTGTTGTAGTTGTTGTTGTTGTTGTAGTTGTAGTAGTGGTTGTTGTTGTTGTTACTGGAGGCAATGGTAAATTGTTTGCAACAACCAATGCATCAATATAGTGATCAGCCATTAAATCATGGTATGTATAATTTAATGATAGATCCGTAGTTTGGTCTATATAAATACAATCTATAAACCAATATGTAATAATTGTAGATGCATTATTTTTTAAATACTCCATTTCGTTATCTGGCAGTTTTATATAATGCAGTACAGTTTTATTGACGGCCACAAAATTATTTGGCCGCTCGAGATTGTCTTGATTTAACACTAAATTCCCATTTAATGAATCTGGAAATTAAACCAGCACTAATATTTATAAATATTTATATTTACAAATACATAAACAATTGAAGGAAGTAATAACATCTTTAATCTAACAAACAAAGTTATCTTTAAGGCTATCACGGAAGGTTTTATTTAATATTCTGTATCTATTATTATGATAAGACTTTTATTTTGACTAAAATAAAACACAATTGTAACTTGTAATACTATGAAACTAAATTGTTATTAAAAAAAAGGTATAGTTTGGACTGTACTGGGGCAATCGACCCTACTAGAGGAGTTAAAAGAACAATGGTATTATGATTGATTGAAAAAGGAGTTATTAGCTATTCTTCTTGAAAAATCTTATTACTTAATATAGTGCAGTTTAAATAGAAAATACATGAGATTGCCTAAATGCATATTGATAAAAAATTACCTGTCAACCTGAATGTGGAACTCGCTGATGTAACAAAATACCAAATACCATAAAAACTTTTCATCAACTTCACTCTCATTACATATTCTCCTGCTTCATACAACTCTTTAGGATACTCCACTGTCCACTTTGATTTGTTTGTTGATAATTGAAACTATAAACAGGTAATGGTTCAATTAACACATTCAATGCCGCATTGATTATCCAATCATTGTTGCAATGAATGTGTTAAACATTTAGAAATCCAGATTGTATTAAATTTCAGGGGTGAATACAAATATAATGAATGTCGTAAATGTTTATAACTTTTCTAATTGGAAAGTTTACTTACTATTATATCACATTACTGATAGATAAGGAAGTAAATAAAATGTAACTTGTTAAATGGTATATAAAATATATAGTTTTATCAAATTATTGTTTAATCTCACCTCTTGTTCATGTTGAGGTTGTACATCATCACAAAATACATACTTAAGATTTTCTCCACTGTATCCTTTTACTCTTGCAGTGAATGTTATATTCGACCCACGAACGGCTGGACCATCGTTTACAAGTGACACGTCAAGGGAACACCAAACTATAAAAAAATTCTACGTTTAAATTTATATCCTAAATGCAATATGCTTTATTAGACACTAGGAAATACTGAATTCAACTTACCACTTTTGTAAATGTACATAAAAGTAATGATAAACATGAGGCGACCCATGATGGAAAAATTGACAGAAGTTTACAAAAGCTTTAAAGTTCAGAGAAATTGTAAATAGTCTTGTAGAACAACGCCAATCATCAGAAACTGTTCTTTAATCAACTAAACAACGCAAAATAAAAAAATATCAATACAATACAACCACTTTTGCGTCATCACATGCTTTGACAGAAGATTAGAAAGATGTCAATTTTTTGTGATTGTGATGACAGTGACACAGATTAAAAATTTTGTAGATTTTTTAAATCGATTCCGTTAAACTGAATTTACCACGCAAGGTTTGGTAAGCTTTGCTTATTCGTTACACTACAAAACGAATATGTTATTATTTCATTTTATTCAAAAATACAACTACACACTTTTCCAATCCCAAATTATATTTTGCCAACTTACATTTTTTAGAATCTGTGTCCTTCATGCATGTGTTGTGGTTGCGCAGGAGGTGTATCTGTGACAGCTAGAAAGGCAAAGCAAAGCAAATCATAAGAAATATTTTACTCTTATTTAGTTTTTGCTCTGTTTCCGATGAACATTTAAAATAATAACAGAACAAATATGTTCAGTATTTGAATTAGTGTTTGCAGTACCTGCGTATAAATTTATTAATAAATCATAAAATGGCCACCGTTTTTGATAGTCCTTTCATTCGACAACGTTTGCATCGTTTGCGGCATCGCGATTTTGACTTGGACGAAGATCAGAGATTTGGTCGATGTGATTGTACCAGTTATTCCTATTTTGTTCTATCGATGGTACTATTTTCTGTAGGTACCGTTATAACAGTCCTAGCCTTGGGAGACACAGATGGCTACATACTAAACAACTTAGGACACATGTGGCTTGTTGGACCAATATTTATTTGTTCTGGGATGATGGTTGCAGTTAAGAGCATGCTTTATTTACGAAGGAAGAGTGTTATACAAATGCTTTTACATCAGCGTGCAATTATCAGGGTAAGTCATGTGACTTCTCAATTTATAACATTCCTCCTTATTATGTATTTATATTTTTGAAATGTATGTGCCTCAATCGAATAATATTAATTTAAACAATGTACAATGATAACGCCTTTTCTTGTGTCACCAGAAATTAAATTATCATGAGAATAATCCTTGTTTACTTAGCCTTAACCCAATAACCACATACCTTATCAACACATGCAAATTATATTACAAGGATGTTTTAATTTGTGTGTTTGTCATAGATTCGAATTTGGGCACATTCACAAACAAATTTCTTGATTTAATTTCAGATCCATGAAATAGTTATATCATAAAAGCATATATTGTAAATAAAACTTTTTAAAAATGAAAATAAAATGATTAAATACAATGGCTATTCCTAGTCTTGAATAGTTTCTAATAAAGTAGAACCTATAAAAATTTAACTACTTTGTTACACAAAAGTCTTTCTAGCTAGCTAGTAAGAGCAATACACATAATATATATTGTATTTAGTAGTATTTGTGTATTGTGACTAATTTGATGCTATATGTAACAAGTTCCTAGAAATACATTAAGGATATTGCAAGTTTGTGAACAAATACAATGGCTTATTCATGGAATTATTAAGCTATGTTATCTTTTGATTCCTCTCTGTTGTATTCTTCATAATTATCCTGTAAATATAGCAAAATTATATTTATTTACTTTGAGTATCTGAGTTGACCAAGCTGTAGTGAATATTTAACAAACAAACTTAATCATAAACTGGTAGTTTATTATGTTAATGTTTATATCCTTCTTAAGATGTTTATTTTTTTGTCCTAGGACATGGCAGCTGTACAGGCAGAGCAGACATTTGGAGGCCAAGTACCTAGAACAGCCTCAAGCGCTACACTTCCTCCATCATATGATGCTTTAATTGCCAGTGCTACTACAAGTAAGCCTCAGCCTTCAGGCTCGGAACCACCTCCACCCACATACGATGAAGCTATGTACCTTATTGATGACGAAAAACTAAGAATGGAAAATAGAATTGAGCATAGTGCTAAACAAGAAACCAGTGACCAAACTTCTAGCATCAACAATGATATTAATTTTAAACCGTGAATTGATTTACTTAATTTTTTTGTTTACAATAGTCATGTAAGTAAAACTTAATTCTTCCTTTGTACTTATAATTTGCATTAGTGAACTATGTAAATTGATAGTATTCTCAGATGTGCCTAAATATTGACTTGTTGGCTATATTGTTAATAAGGTATTTTAGATAATTAAGGGAAGCCTTATAGCTTAAGATGATATAATATGAATTTGATAAAGTTTTACCCTGGATATTTTGAATAGCAATATGGATTCATATAAATGTATTTTAGAATGTATCAAAGTATGAACAAAAGTAGGTATCAAATTGTTTTTCAAGATTAATCTGAAGTTAAAAATGCAAGTAGGAGTGCACTTAAATGCAAGTATTAAGTCTTGTCCTGTTTTTAACCGGGCTTGCCAAAAAGTTTGTGTGCCTAAAACTTTATATGGTGGATATGACATTATTTTTGTATCATATTTTTATTGAATAATATTTGAAATGATGGATAAAATATTTGCTATAATTATCATAATGTTTTCAATGATAGTGTATTTTGCATGTTAAAAAAGTGATTTATAAATTAATTACATATTTGCAATCAAAATTGTAAATCTTATTTGGGTTTGCAGTGCAGCATGTACTTTAAGAAATATTAATAAAAAATAGGCTTCACCACAGTAACATTAGTTTCCGAGACCAAAATCCTTGTATAAAACATATAATCCCACACATTACCTTTGACAAAACAGAGATAAAAATGTGATTGATACAGGAATTTTGTTTTGAGAAATCAATGATTACTTATGTAATAAGGATAGAAAGACACAGAAAATCAATATTTAAAATTTTATTAAGCGATGAACAATAAGAATTTATAATAATTTTAAACTGTGATCATATACTATTAGTGATAAACTATAGTATACTCAGATAATACATTGAACTTGCTAAGATATATTTGATTATTCTAAATTTATACAATTGTTGCACTCTACCCTTTATTTTTGGCCTATATTTTTGGACTTAGACAGTTTTAATACTGTAGAAGTTTTCCTTTGAGTTATATTAATTTAAATTCTATTATGACTCATTGTAAAATATAGTAAAACCTATAGTAAAGGAATACAATGTGATGTTAGACCTTTTGCCTATAAAATAAAACTGGTAAAGTTACTAGCTTCCATTTTTTTTAGACTTCTCATCCCATTCACTATTCAGAAAGGAAGAGAACAAAAGCTTCATTGAAGTTGTATTATATATGATTTATGAAGGATTGTACATATATCCATTTGATCAACTCCAGTTTACAAATTCCATAAATAAAAATCTGCTTGATTGTTTAGTATAGAATCTTACCAATGAGAGAGAAAAAATAACAAGATAGGTAATATCAGTCTTAGGGTTTTGTTAAATAATAATTGTCCTATTTCCTTGCATTTCAGTTTTAAGGTTAATTTACAATGTTTTATTTAATTCTAATTTTTAAACATAAATAACATTTTACAATAATTTCTTTTGTTTACAAATGGAAGTCAGTCAAAACAAAACCTCGAATAGATTACTGGTCTGATTTTGCACATGATGCAAAGACTGAAGCATTTATATGTATTATTGTTGGAAATTTATATAAAGAGCAATGTTTTGTACATATAATAGTTGTAATATTGATCTGATAAAATACAGAAAGAGAATTACATCTTAATATGTATTATTCAATTGTTTTATAAGTAATTGTACTTTTACATAATTAAATGCAAAAATTATTTGTTTAAATTTACTATGTTAATTAAAAATGACTTAACGGGTTTATGCTCAATCAACTTTTTGTTATGAGGCTATTTTTTTTTGTAATAAATGTGTACAGCAACTCCCTTGAAATTTAAAAGTCAAGTGCAAAGAGAGATGAAATACAGTGATTCAAGCAATTTTTTTTAAGTACTATCAGTTAAGATTTGTTGATAACTTGTAACACTGATTGTTTGAAATACTGCATTGCATTTATCTAGTCAAGAAATTGATTTTATGAATTAATTTATAATTAATTGCTTACTTCACTAAAACATAAATTACATATTCTTTTTCTCATTTTACAGTGTTTTATTTATATTGACATACAAGCAAGACAACAACAATATTGACAAACAGCTATGTGTTTACACATTACTACTTATGTTAATCTACCTAAATACTTAGCTCTAAGGCAAATATTTCTTAAATGTGGCCATTGTACAATAATTAGATCTGCAAAATACTGAAGTATTCTTCCTGATAATGACAATGTTCTTACTCGACATATACTCTCAATGAAAATAATTCTACAATCCAATAAGAACAAGCATCTGAACATAAAGGCAACAGCACATACTGGTATGCAAGTGCCTGGACCATTACATAAAATCACATCAGGTTTAAATTTATAAATTATAGGAATAGTGCGAAACGTCGCATACAATGTACTGAAGACAGATGATAAGTAGGATTGTCTTACTTTTCTACATCTTGGTATTCGGCTTAATCCATAATTTGTTGCGCTTCTTTCGGTTGCATGTATTTTAATTTCACTGCATACATCACTGTCGGACAAAATGTATAATCGCGGCTTGAACTTATTTTTGTTCATAATCGGTATAAGCCTTAGCATTTCTGTAGTATGGCCACCCGATCCAATACAAATGATTGTATTTAAGGAAGATTTTTGTACTGCCAAGTTACATTCCATTCGCACTACATTGCAAAACACACATATGACCCTTATAAAGCATGCAATGATTATAAGAAGTAACATAGCTGCATACCACTCCATATTAATGAAAACTTCGTTAAATATTATAAATTAAAAAAGAGTAAGAAAACCGGAGCAAATTTTATACTACAGTCCTGAGATTGAGATCAATATTGACATCAAGTACGTTCAGGGTGACCAGGTTTAAAGATAATATTCTGCCAGTTACACGCAGTTACTCGTTTAAATTTTGCTAAAGGTTTTTTTATAAAACTAGCTGTCGCCAGCGATTCCATCCGCGCGGAATAAAAAAAAACATAATTAATAGCTTCTTCTAGTGTTCTTCTATAATATGTTATATATCGATGTGAAATTCCATCGAGAACCGTTCAGCCGTTCTGGAGATACCTTAAACAAACATTCATCCATCAATCGAAACATTTGCATTTATAATAGTAGTAATATTCAAAAATTTATGACGTGGTTTAGGCTATGTGAAATTAATTATAGTCTTCAAAAGACATGTTGCTCCATCTGCAATTCTGCATGTCAATGTAAACATCAAATAATTTACAAACAGTTAAACCATATTTTATATACTCTTTGGTTAAACGTACAACTATTAAACATGGCAGACATTTTAAAATATTTATTATTTTACAATTTTTAGGGTTCCGTACCTCGAAACGAAAAAAAGGAACACTTATAGGATCACTTTGTTGTCCGTCTGTCTTTCAAGAAACTTCTAAGCCAACGTAATCAAAAAATACAACCGTTTATGTTGCAAATTTACGCAAATTTTCGACAGTTACACGGGAATCAAAACCTATAGGGTACTTCCCGTGAACACAGTGACACACAGATGAAGGAAAAATTGCGATAACCGTAAATTTTTAATTCCATCACATGAAAAAAAATGATATTCACATATCAATAATCACATATTATTTATCAAAATTATAAACATATTACTCTTTTTTACTCTGACTCGATTGTCGTTATGGGTTAACTTTTACTTATCCCTACAGGTTTGTACGGAACCATAGGGGCGCGAGTTTTACTCGCATTTGGCTAATTATTTTTATTAAGTACTAGCTGTGGCCCGAGATTTCGTCCGCGCGTAATTAAAAAAAAATACATTATTAGTTCCCGGGAATTATTCGTTTTTTTTCACCTTTTAAACCTTCCCTAGATCTTCAAGATCGTTCAGTAGTTCTCGAGTTTTAGCGAGACTAACGAACAGCAAGTGATATTTATATATATATAATTTTGTGTTGTAAACCTAACTTTGAGTATTTGTAGTAGTGGTACTGTTTTTATTTAATTTAAAAAAATATAATATAAGTAAAATTTATATGATGATATGATCTCCCATCGTATAACAAAATTGGATTTTATATTTCGAGTAGGAGTCAACGACTATGTAGGAAAGATACACATAACTTCAAAGTAAAATAAAGCATAAATATAGTGTAATTGTCCAATTCTTCCGACGTGATATAAGATTCTATCAAAAAATTTCTGTTAAGCCTAAGGATTAATTATGGCTGTAATTCTGCTAAAATAGCAGAATTCTGCTAGATCTGGTCATACTTGACATTTCACTTTTATTATTGTCAACTTGACAACTACTGACGCACGGATTGTGATAATTCTGTATCTATGTTTTTAAACGTAGTAAATATTAAACACACTTTGGTAGTAAATGGTAGTAAACTCCATAAAGCTTTCCAACTCTATTCAAGGCGGGAAATGTATATTTCATATTTGACAGTTTTTGTAAACTTAACCTTTTTTTAAGTTGAATTTTCAGATTTGAGTTAAATGTTTACTTGTAAGTTAAAAAATGGATGAAGATAATTGTGATGGACCATTTACGGTTTGGCAAATGTTTAACGCGCCGACTATGGTGCTATTTAATAATCTTGAAAATGCTGCTGAAGGTCTTGAAAGATTGTTAACATCAATATCGAAACTATCTGGGTAAGCGAAAAAAAAATAACAAGATTTTCATCCTTATGATACATTAAGTTAAGTGTGCCTCAACATTGTAGTTATACATCATAAATACATTTAATATTGTTAATATGAACTTCAGGTTTTCAAATTAATTTGTATTGAAAGTCTCTTAAAACATGATTTCCTATTTCAGAGATTTTTCAGAGGTGTTAATACCCAGAGTTGGTTCTACAAAATGCCCTGATAATTACTATTGTGCATTTAATACTTGGCTATTGGGACGGTTGTTTTATGTATGTTCTGTTAAAGAATTAAACATGTAAGTTCTAATGTTTAATATTAATCAGACATTGCAATTTCACCATGACCCTATTTTCTATAAAAAAAAATTTTCAGGATTCATGGATCAAGTAAAGATGCTCAAGTTAAAATTTTGAACATACTTTGTGTAAATGGAGCTAGTTTTTATGAAAAGCTAATTTTGCAGTATCACTCAATTCTATTTGCCTTAGTGAAATATTATAAAGAAAACTCAGATAGTGTCACACCTGGAGAAATACAATTAGATAATTTTAAACCTGAACAGATTGATGTACCTAATGTACAATTAAACTTGGAGCCTATTTATGTTCAAGTTAAAAATATTAGTACCTGCACATTACTGATAGATATTGTTTTACAATTATTGTCAGAATGCATACCTCCATATTTACTTAATATTGATAAATTTTTCACACACCTACAAAAGCTTCACAGTAATGTTTTATTTATTATAGAACATTATAGCATAGAAGTTAAATTATTAGCATTAAATTTTTTTGCCAATTTAATAGAGAATACTAACAATTCATCAGGAATCCATTTTCAAAGTAGTTTTCCTCAAACATATAGAAGGTTATTATGTTGTATAGAATGCATGGTGCAAAATACAGATGTACTTTTTGAAAAAAGTAATATTGCATCAGAGCAACTTACAAATTTTAACAATGTAGTAACAAAATTATTAAAAATGTGTGACAAGTCATTTAATACTGGCCACAAAGATGTTCTGTCAACAATTGCTATTACTGTTTTGAAAAAAACATCAAATCCTGTTTTTAATAAAGAACTCAAGTTGTATTGTCTATCACTAAGCAATACAATAAACTTTCCTAAAGATGTATTGGAGCTTGAGAAGAGAGATTCTAATGAAATAGATATGTTAGCAGAATGCTACTACAAGCACATATTTGAATATATTAAGAAAGAGAAATGTCAAATTAATGAATTAAAAGAGCTCTGGTTCTTCAAACAAGTTGTGAATGTTATTTATCAGAGTTTAGAATTTAGTAATGATGCAAAAGACACTACTACTTTGTCATTCAATTTAATGAGACATTTATCTGCGTTAAGGATACTGCAAAAAGTTTTTATTAACTATAAGAAAAATAGCAAAGAAGATTCTAATGCAGTATTAGAGCAAACAAATTTAAATAAGACTTTTGAAATGCTATCAAAGTTAATCAAAACACACGATTATATTCTTCTTCAAGATTATATTTGTATGGAAATATTTCTTAATATTGTATTGACTACAACATCGATTATTAAACATATTAATGGAAATGTTAAGATGGAATCATTTCTGAAAAGTAAAATAATGTTAATATTATGTCTACAAGAATCGTCGCAAAATGTGCATAAAATTCTTAATTACAATGAATGTACAAAAGTACTTATTCTGAAATATATACTATTAACAAGATTAATCTTAAATACTAAAGAAAATGATATGGAGAGAGTGATACTAAATTTAGTTGATAATATTATAAAAAATAAAAACTCTACAACATATAAAGAGGTAAATTTATAAATAACATTTATAGAATACAAAGGGTGTTTCCCATTGGCGCATTCGGTTTAAAACATCCTATAAAAAGCTTTAACATTTAAAACTTGACTAAATGGTGATTAATATCATTCTTAAATTAAAATCTTATATTTTTAGGTCATCGCGATATGTCCTCTACTAATTTTATGTAAAATATCATTCGCCAGTAAGTTAATAGGCGAAGTATTATTGCCGGCATTCCTCACAAAAGATCCAGATATTCAAGATCAACTAACAAAGATAGTTCCAGCTATCGCCTGTATTTCATTGGGAACTTATGCTATTGTTCTCGGATATTCTATGATTGAAGGTCATACTATATTTTATAACAAAACATTAAATATAACAATAATTTGCTATAATTGTCACAATAGACAAAATTTACAACAGAACACTTTTTTAAACAATATTAAGAGAGACTATGTGGTTTTATACAAAGAAAGTGTACAAATAACTCCATCAGTACAATCAACTTTCAATGGTTTACGCAATTTGCTTTGTAAATTTTTGAATTACAAGCAATACGCAAGTGTAGAAAATAGTCAATATTGGAATTTGCTGGAACGATTATGTAATCATTTTTATGTCTTCAACTATGGTTTATCTACTGAAATTATTAAGGAAGAAAACCTAAAGTATATTTTCAAAGCTATTAAACCACTTATTCCACATAAAACGGTAAGTATATTTTAATTAATTTTAGTTTACATTTTCTCCTGAACTCTATAAATGGACTGGCTATAAGACATAGTATTTTGTGCCTGTTTGATTTTCGCCATTTTGGATTTGATAGTAGCGGTTTGTAGTGGTAATGTGAATTCGAACTAATAATTTAGTTAGAATTAACCATCACGTAACATTAACAGGCGCGTTTAAATAGGAACGAAGTAAAAGCTGTGAATAGGAACGAAGTAAAAGCTGTAGCCAAGCAATCGCCTATTCATTTATAGTGACCAGAGTTTTTTTTTTTTAATTTAAAAATGGATTTTTGAATTTCAATTTTTATTTTGCAGACCAATACTACGGAGGTATCGACACAAAATGAAAATGTTTTTCCTCTATGTGTTAATTTACTAGTAAAATTAACGCAAACTAGTTTAGAAAGCAACAATTACAATAAACAAATAGCAACATTAGATGCTATAAAAGAATTTGGTCTTTATTGTAATGATATATCAATGTTGCCTGTTACAAAACTTTTTATATATTACATAATGCACCCACAATGTGCTGTTGCACCTAAAGCTGAGGTTTATTTAAGGGAATTTTGTGAATTCCATAATTACACACCAAATCAAGTATATCATAGATATAAAAAAGATTATTGCAGACTGTTTGTTGAATGCAGTTTATATTGTGGAAAAGATTTCGCAATATCTTTACTGAAAGTCGTCAGAGCATTTGGTTTTGTTGGATATAGGGATTTCATTTCGAAAGATATTCATCATTTTCTACCGTATTTGATACCATATTCTGTCACAATTCCCGAAGTACCGTCGATGATTGAAGAAATTGCATCTTTAGTTCAATGTTCGGTATCAGATTTTATAATTGAAAGATTTCCACTTATTTACGTGCACGTTTATTTAAACGAGAATAATACCGTTGCCGATAAATGTTATTCAATTCTTGAGAAATTGACGAAATGTTCTATTTTGAGCCTTATTAAGAAGCATTTTAGAGTGATTTTAACAGAGTTTTTACTTCAGTACTGTTGTAATCCGGAGAAAGTACTAAATGCTTGTAGATATTTAGCTTGTCACGACCCTGATACGACTTCACCTGGTAATATTAAACTGAGTACTACGCAAATAGCGGATTTTTTGAATCCTAAATTCTTAGGAGTTCTTGCATACTTTGATCATAAACTAGTGAACGCTAAAGTTGCTTTATCAGTGAAGAGAAAAGCATTAAAAAGCTTTCCAGATATGATGCAATTAATGGGTGTGAAGTATATAACTCCTTTAAGGTTCAAAGTCCTCGCGACTTTGAGGTCAGCTTTACCTCTTGTTAAAGAATTTCCTAAAATATTAGCAGACGCATGGTCCGCTTTCATTCATAATCTCGATAGCATATCGCTTGGACCTCTATTATCAAATCTTGCTGTGTCATTGTTACAACAATTTGAATACGCTCCACAAGAAATCAATAAAATATTTCAGTATCTCGTTTTAAAGAATGAAAATTTACTAAGCGCTCATTTATCTGATCTTTTCTTTCTTGGAGATTCGAATATTTCAGAAAAGGTGAAAACTGTTATTAAAAGACATGTAACAAGAACTCAACCAGAAGGGTTTTTGGATAAAATAAAATGGTATTTGGAGCATTTGAATAATGAAATACCAAGGATAAAAGCTTATGCGATTTCACATTTAGATGTATTACTTAAGAACAATAGAAGTGAAATACATAAAGCTATTTTTGGCGGGAAGAATATCGATCCTATTATAGTAGAGCTAATAGATTGTTTATTACTAGGTAAGATCTTTTCTTCTTTCTTTCTTCCTCAGCCATAAGACCCCCACTGCTGGGCATAGGCCTCCCCCAAAGATCGCCACGATGACCGGTCCTTAGGTAAGATCCTTGAAACTAATTATTACTAGTTTTGCGACACCCATGTAGTAGGAAGTAGTTGTTTATTAGTGAGACGCTGGCTTAGGCTGGTTTGGATGGATGGATATTTGTTATAAGGTATCTTCAGAATGGTTTCATAGACGCTGTAATTTTTTTTTATTCCTCGCGGCCGGAGTCTCGGCTGATAGCTATGTTAACTATAAATATTTTTGCAATATTACTCTCCAGGTTGCAAAGACCCTGATAACAAAGTAAGTGAAGCGAGTGGGTCTTGTTTAGGACAGTTGGGCGCCATCGAAGCAGGCCATTTACCTCGTCAGTACGTGCAGCCTGACAGATCGCCCTTCGCCTTCACAATAGTCGATAACTGTTTCGCGGCTACAGCTCTTGTAGAACTTTCTAGAGCTTTTCAATATGAAAAGGATACAATGGTAAGTTTTAACTGAATGAAAAAAAGAGATTAGCAATTAATGCCGCACTCAAAATCGTTTGATTGTTCCTTTAGTGCAAATTTCTTATATTAAATTACATTTAAGTCTTCCCTTAGCGACTATATAACAACTTAGCGTCATAGCTTATCGTTGTTTTTTTATAATTGTCTTAATAAAGGAAAGAGGGATAAATGAAGGATTTAAATCATTTCACTAATTAAAAATATTTGCTAGACAATTGTGTAATATTATTTATTCTTGCAGAATATGGACTGTTATGCTTTAACTATACAAGAAATACTAAAAACTTACGAAATATCACCAACGGGGAGTAAGAAGGAAGTGTGGGATAGTTTCCCGGAGAATATGCATCAGATTATGTACCCTTTACTCAGTTCTAGGTACGGTTTTAAACTTTATACCATAAAAATTTAAAAACACATTAATATTCTATGGTTTTCATTTCAGATATACTTTGGCGTACCCATCACAGCCAAAGAAAGTACATCCACTTTTCGGTTCGGTTTATGCAACAACATTCCTAGAATGGGCACACAAGTAAGTTGAAAATTTTAACTAGGTCAACGGCAAAAACTTTTTTTTATACCACCAAACTTCGCCGAAATGGCGAAGTAACCGCTGCCCATAGACATCTACGATAAGAGATGCTTTTAATTGACATAGAAAGAGTTGCACAGAAAGAGGATATCTTCCTATGCGTCTTCTCTATCAAAACCACTTCCCCTTCCCATCTCATCCTTATAAGAAAAGAGTGGAAAGGGAATGAGGACTAAAATTAGCGACCCGAAACTTTTGTGCAACATATGTTATTGTTGCTAGCATTAAACATTTTGGTCCATTAAAAAAACGATGCCTTACTTGCAGTTGGACGGGTCAATTGATATCTATAATAGAATCTGAAAGCATACGAGATTTACTGCGTACAGTACACCCAAGCATGCGTCGCGATCTCCGCACTTTGTTACTGTTCTTCCCTTATGT